GATTTATATCGTAAATGTCCTTTGCCCATGTGAAAAATGTGTAGTTTTGAGCGTGTTTCTAACAGGTTGGCAGGTGCTGTAGGTCGAGGAGCACTGGTGCAAGTCCAGGGTAGCCTGGTGTCAAGTGCGGCTTGTGATCCAAGGTGCATTCAAATAAATGAAAGAGAAAGGAATATGTATAAACTTTTCCTGTTTTAAAAAAGTACCAGCTTAACTTTTCAGTTGAGTCATTTCCCCTTTATGTGTGAGAGAAAAATACTTGAAAAGCAAGATGGAATTGAAATCTCAGCTTTGAACCTGGTGCAGTTGTCTCCCTGCTTTCAATTTAGAGTGAAGAATGAAGAATTCACATTTGAAGAGGTGAAATAATTCTAAAATTGCCAAGTTTGGAGCCAAGGGGAAGAGGGGGAGAAGAGCTGAGCGCTGCATTAATCCATGGACACAATCTTCCACTAAGCCCCCACTTAGGTCAGTGTATGTCCGTGCTGGGAATTGAACCTCTGTCCAGCTCTTTGAAATTTCTGAAGCAAATTCAAAAAGTGGAATATTTTGTTCTCCAGCACAACATTTGGAAAGAGAGCACCGATCAATGSAAAGAGCTGATTAAGGAGGAGTTGCCTTTTTAGGAAAAGTTCTTTCAAGTTTAACAAGAAAAAAAGAAAGAGGGGGGACTCTAAAGGAATTGAATAGGGTTATGCTGTGTAGATAGAATTCCTAAAGAATGGAGCAGGAGGTTCTCTCCTCGTAGGGTTTGGGGAAAAAAAAAAARACATAATAGTAATCCTGGAACTGATGTGCAATTGTTTGATTCTGCTGGGGTGGGCGCACGGCGGGGCCCTGCAGTGTGACCTCCCAGAGCACTCAAGCGCAGAGCACTGATTTTAGATCAAAGGGAATTTCGTTGGCCAAGACRGGGCGAGTGGACTAAAGAAGAGAAGGATGGAGGGAAGAATAAACAGGAATTCTTCAAAAGGAATTTTTTTTTGATCTTTGCTTTTAAAAATTAAAAAAAGAAAAAAAA